TTTGTGTAGATTATACTTTTATTTATTTGCATCAGTCATAAACAGTATAAATACGACGTCAAAACTTTTACCTTTTTATAATATTTCGATAAAGCTAAAAAAAAATATAAATAAATTGCCAGGGTTGTGAGTTTATTGCACTAAAACGTCTATACCCCATCTAATATATGCACTCAAAAATAACAAAATATTCAGTAAGAATTTCAAAATATGCAAAATGAATTCACAATTACAGTATAATAGTCTTGGAATGTAGGTTAGGTACTTACTAATAAATAATATAACACTGTAAAAGTCAAGTATTAAAATTGTAAATGAACAAATGTATATTAGGGGGAAAAAAGTAAATAATCTTTAAAATAAAGATAACGCTGAAAGAATTGATGCCGAGTAATTTTTAATTGCGCTARTGCGCTACCTTGAACATTTTATGAAGAAAGCTGTATTAAATTGTATATATACAAGTACAATGAAAAGGAAAATTGAAATTTCTTTAAAATCTAGAAACCAATTCGGATATATATTTTGAAGAACAAGGGAACGAATTAGGAATTAATTCGAATATTTCAAAAAAAAAAATCACCCGACATATCTAATATGACTTAAATGCTATGATCCTTGTAATTAGCGGACTGTTAAGGTTTAGTTCTGTATTATTAGTTGTTTTAATGATAATTCCAAATAAATACCARTTACTAACAAGTACTATACAAGCATTATTATAAAGCTAAAGACAAAGTTTTATAATATATCAATAAACTTATCGTTAGAAAGACTTTACTGAAAGAAAAATATTATTGTCATCGTATTCAACACATAATAATTTGAAAGTTCATTGTAAACGTGCAGTGGCCTGACTATAAAATTTTCCGACATCAATTTTAATTAAATATTTGATCAAGTCGTCTGATTTTTAATAGCGGCTCATGAGTAAATACTCAGAGGAGACTTAAATTATAAAACATAAATTCCATATAACAAAGAACCTAGAAAAACCTTTTTATTGAAAAAATAATATGAATAAAACGTGTATAACTATATAATTATACGAAAAACTACACGGCGCAGTGGTATGGCAATATTACTGTCGTGAACCCAGGTTCAATAGCGTCTATGATACGCAGCTTATTCTTCCCGACTCTCTTCGACCTACCAGCCATGCAATTACATGTTACGATTGCAACTTACTGACGAGCTTTAGTTTCACTGAACCGGCGACCGTCGTAATGAGCCGTAATGACTAAAATAGTAATTCTATCAAGTTTTCGATTTTGTGACTTTCAATTTATAATAATAAACAACGAAAACGATATAATATATTTTTAATTCAAATGAAAATATTTCTATACATTATTATTTTTAATTAATTATATTATTTGCAAGCAACTAGTTTATTTTTAAAGGGAGACGCAGTCTCAAAGTCTCCCCTAGTCTCCTGACGAGCCACTCCTTGCTGATTTTTGAAATGTTGATGTAAAATAATATTCACGGATGTATACTCTGTATATAATATATAGTTAGTATCAAATATCCATCTTATTTTTTTTTTAACTGTTTATATTTGTGTTATTTCAACATTATTTTGTATATATCATTATAATATTATCAAAAAATATAATTTAKTGTGTTTTTATATAAAAAGGGTTTATCCCGTTAATTTATGATAAAAATACACTACTATGGCAGGAGCTATATTATTATAAGAAGGTTTGACGTTTATTTACCTTTCAGGCGCATCGCCCACCATGCGGGACACCGGTCGGGGCCTGCGAGCCGAACAGTGGGCCAGATTYTGCGGCCGGTACAATTGCGCGGACGCGATCGAGAAACTAGCGCGCAACCGACTCCTGGAACGGACGACGTCGTATGGCCGGTGGGGCAGCGACCCGGAGTTGGGCCCGCACATGCTGATCAACGGTCGGCTGATGCAGCCGCCGGCCACGTCGGCGGTGGCCACACTCCAGCGCGCGGCCACGCAACACCACCGCTCGATCAAGTCGAAACTGAAGCGTGCGTTCCGCACGTCGTCCAATCCCGACTCGACCGCCGGCACCGCCAACCAGTATTCGCTGGTGTCGCAGCTCACCGGCGCGGCCCTGTGCGCAAGCAGTCCCGCGTTGCCGGTGCACACGCGCGCCAAGCCCATGGTCAAGTCGTTGCTCAGACCGTTGACCGTGCCAAAGGTGACCGTCACCGGAATGCAAGAACCGCTCCAACAGCAGCAGCAAACGCCCGTCCCGTCGTCACCGAACGCCWCCGATTCTCGGAGCAAAAAACAGAAGAACAAAAAACGATGATGGTAATAACCGAGTAACCGACAAACGCCGCGGGTTACGGTTTAATATTATTATGATTATTACAATTATTTTTAAATGGTATATGAGTATACAATAAATATCGTGAATAGTGGCGTAGCCAGGGAGACGGCCGAGGGTGCTGCAACCTCCCCCCCCCCGAGTTGTTGAGAAAATTTAAAAATTATTAATTTGATGGTCTATGAAAGTCGCTAAGAAAGTCTTAAATTGTATTTTTAAATTATAAAAAGAAAATTCATSGCTATTTTTASTATTTTTTTCTACATGTTATGCTTATGCTGAAGAACCTAGGTAAACYATTGGTGTGTAAGAATTGATATCAACCCTTCCCCTGGAAGAATAATCCTGGCTACGTCACTGATCGTGAATAACCCAAATTTTTATATATAATGACGACTGAATTTGCTGCAGTATCTATACTATATACAGGATGTAACAGTACTATTTGACAAATATAGTAATATTTGTAATAGAACTCTGTTAATAGTCTTGTTACACCTTAAATAATATAGTCGTAGACACCGTGTAGATAGATGCCATGATGGGTGGTAGTGGTGGTACTCGAGCTATATAGGCGCAACTAGGGGGTGCTCGGGGGTGCTTCAGCACCCCCAAATCAAAAATACYAAAAATGGAAAAATCATATGAAAAAAGTTTTCTTTGTTATACGTACKATTGTTTTTTATTTGGCGTTTTTGGTGGAAACTCAAATTATTTATGATGATTATAGTTATATAATATGTTTGTATCAAAAATTAGTCATGTAACATTGACATTTTTATCTGTTTATAGGTACTAGGTCATTATATGAATATATAAGTAATATGCCTATAATGTATTTATGAGGTAGATTACTGTTTAGATAGGTACATAAATATTAGTGTGCTTATGTTTTTACAGTGCATTTAAGATTGATTATAGTAATATATAAAATTGAAGAATGGTACTTAGGGGTGTGGGGGCGTAGCCCCCACGGACCTGTTTCATCTACATTAATTTTAGCACCCCCAATGTTTGGCCTCTAGTTGCGCCTATACAGTCGAGCTAACCCATTGAAATATATTTTCCAATAATACAGTGTATACTTTGTATATTGTATTAAATAATAATAGGATAGGCATTTTGTGTCGCGCAGAAATCGTAAATTCAATATTACATACTATACTTTAGTACCTTACCTATTTCATATTTCAGATGTGAGTCCATCACGCATTAACAGGAGCAATTAAATTGTTTCGCATATTATAATTTTTTAATTATATTTATAATATTATAAATTAATGCATTTTAATCGAAATTCGAGCGTGGAGTAACTGTGTTATTAAACTTAATGTACTTATTACTAAGGATGATAATTGCGGTTTGTCTAACGWCATGAATTATAAAATAGGTGTTTTAATAATTCATATTCTACTAAGGCAATTTTYAAAAATTATTCAATTTTATTAAATTAATATTAATTACTATTAATACATTATCCTKTGTAGGTAAATATTAAGTGATAAATAATATAATTTATTATGAAATAGGATAGTAGGGGAAGAGGTAGCCTACCGACACACTGAATCAGTGCCTGCAATATTTTCCATAATTCATAAAAAACATAAAGACTAAAAGCATTTTTTGTTTTATATTCCTAGCTTCCATTAAAAATAATGCTTAAAATTATGACATATAGTTTTTGTTGATAAAAAAAAAAACAGATTTCAAATGTGATTTCCAGTTAAAAATGTTATTATAATTCATTGAAAAGTTCTGTTGCGAAGTTCTAAAGGTATCTACATGAACATTTGAAATATTTAAAATTAGCAAATTGCTAATATAAAATAATTAAAACATGGCAAACAATTAATAACTCAACAACGCGTCAACGCACAAGTAGTATWTCAAAATATAATATTAAATAGTTGCTAACGTATCTAAGTAAATTTTTTTAACTAGATTTTAATTTACAGATAATTCTTTTCAGAATCCTGAACCCTGATACATACTTTTGTTAATTTGTAAATCCMAAAAATGATGCATTCACGTATTTGCGAGTTAATAAAAAGAACATTGATCTTTTTATTCAGATTATACTACGTTAAATGTATGAGAAGTACAAAATACATCTCAGTACTTCAGTCAGT